CTCAGTTCTAACTTGCTTTTCTCCTTGATTAGTTTCCACCCATTTCTTCTTGTCCTGCCTTCAGGTGTTTTTAGTAATAGCTTCACTCCCTCTTCTTTGGGGCAGCCCCTGAGATATCAAGAAGACTGCCATCATGTCTCACCTAGTCCTTCTTTTCAATAAACTAGACATACCCAGTTCCAGCAACTGTTCTTCATATGTTTTATCCTCCAGTCCCCTAATCCTCTTTGTTGCTCTTCTCTGCACTCTTTCCAGAGTCTCCACATCTTTTTTACATCATGGGGACCAAAACTGGATGCCGTATTCCAAGGGTGGCCTTACTAAGGCATTATAAAGTGGTATTAACACTTCAGGTGATCTTGATTCTATCCCTCTGTTTATGCAGCCTAGAACTGTGTTGGGTTTTTTGACAGCTGCTGCACACGGCTGGCTCATATTTAAATGGTGGTCCACTAGGACTCCAAGATCCCTTTCACAGTTACTGCTATTGAGCAAGGTACCACCTATGCTGTACCTGTGCATTTTGTTTTTCTTGCCTAAATCAGCTGTGCTGCGCGATCGTCGAAACCTTTTTAAAACTTTTTTTAGCATTTTTTAACTACCAGTTCAGGCGAACCAGTAGCATTTCACCCCTGCTCTGGGCATCTTACAACCTAAAAGCATTGAGAAACATTAAAATCATTATATAACCACAATAAATAAAAAAACATTAACCGATAAAATCAAGGAGACAAGATGGCAAAGAAGGGAGCCAAACTCAGGTGGGGATGGGTGAGTGACGTTGAATTTTAATTAGCCATTTAAATTAGCCAACCATTAGTCACTCCTTCTTTGTATTCATTGTAGGTGCCTGATAGCTTCTTGCCTCCTGTTCCCATCACGGCCCCCATCATGAGTCCTTTGTCGGACCCACAAGCTCAGCTGCAGCAGCCTCCCACTTCGGCCCCACCTCCGACTCAGGTTCCCTTCCAGCCTTCTCATCTGCCTCCAGGCCAGCCAGGGTTACAGAACCCCTTCCAGAATGTTCCACCGCCAGGGGTCCAGACAATCATGACTCCATCCGTATCGGCGTCTAGCATGGAAGGAGCACCGGGCGCTCCGACAGGAAACGCCATGCAGGTAAGGTGATCTTGATAGACTAGCAATTCTCCTTGGAGGTCACCAACTTCTTACTTGCCCAAGAGGTGCATGCGTTGTCGTGGCCCGCCAGCAGAGCTAGCAGCAGATTCGGACAGTGAGGAGGTTGGGAAGGAACCTTGGCCAGTCCTGGAGTCTGGGGAAGGCTCTGTTATCGGAGGCAGAGAGGGGGCCAGAGCCATATGCCAGTTATCAGCTGCCTTCAGA